TCATGTTTGCATCTGGGAGGTGATGGTAAATTATGTACCTCATGTTTGCATCTGGGAGGTGAGTGTGAAGTAATACATTATGTTTATTTTGTAGGTTCAAGTGCTGGTATCCTTGGTAGGACCTGCTGTATTCACTGGTACTTACTATGATGACCCAATTACTGTCAATATTCGGGTTGAGTATCTTATTTTTGGTCCTGATCTCAACAGAGTAAGTACCACTTTATTTTACTTTCTTACCACAGCATAATTACTGGTATCACTCTCCCTTGCAGAATCTTCTAGCTTATGACCTGACCTAGGGAGTCATAGAGAGCTGCAACTAGACATTTTACACCAAAATTGTTGGTATTCCACATCCTAAGCTTCTGTTGAAAAAAATGTGTGTTATTCATAATAAATATATCAAATATTTGTACATTCAGTGCTAAAATCTTTTCAAAATTTTAAAATACTGAAAAATATAGATTCTGCGGTAGAAGTAGCTGTGAATTGTCGATCCTGTATGGAGTGCATTCATGTCGTCTACTCGAGGTGACGCGGGGCATCTCGCACCTGCCCTGTATTCATTCGACTGCTATATGACGTCACAACTGGGGCGACATTTAAATTAGTCTGTGGCAGAGACTTGTGGGACGTTCCCTGGTGACCACCTAGCTTAGTGAAAAAGACTCATAGTCTCTGCAAAGGAGAATGCATAATATAAGAAATATTTATTTTTTAAGTACATCTGAAAGACATGTTTGTCAATTGTTTACAGGGTGCACAGCTTTTTATTGAACTACTCTTAGAGGACATGAACAACTCAATGTTCAAACAGACACCACATGTATTTCTAGGTAAGTACACTTAATATACACTATGGTTATCCCATCTTCCATTCAAGAAAAGCGTTATTGAACAATTAGGTCAACTTTGTCTATGGCACTTTTATTCAAATTATTGACTTAGTGAATTTAATCTTTAATTTTTTAAATGCTAAATTAGAAATGTGTTATTCTTTAGGAAGTCCAACTTCTGTTTGTAACTCTAACTCTACTGTTCCATTTCCACTTACCTCTGTTAGTTTTTCCAGTGATGATGAAGTGTAAGTGGAGGGGTGGGTTATGTCTACCTGAAAGATTTGGTCTATTTGCATTGGTTATGGGTGATGGGTGTGATTCAGTAAGTTTGTCTTCATTGGTCTAGGGGGTACACTTTGATGGGTGTAATTCAGTACGTTTGTCATCATTTGGTCTAGGGGGTATACTTTAATGGTTGTGATTCAGTAAGTTTGTCTTCATTGTTCTAGGGGGTACACTTTGATGGGTGTGATTCAGCAAGTTTGTCTTCATTGTTCTAGGGGTACACTTTGATGGATGTGATTCAGTAAGTTTGTCTTCATTGGTCTAGGGGGTACACTTTGATGGTTTGTTTCAGCAAGTTTGTCTTCATTGTTCTAGTGGGTACACTTTGATGGATGTGATTCAGTAGGTTTGTCTTCATTGGTCTAGGGGGTACACTTTGATGGATGTGATTCAGTAAGTTTGTCTTCATTGCTCTAGGGGGTACACTTTGATGGTTTGTTTCAGTAAGTTTGTCTTCATTGCTCTAAAGGGTACACCTTGATGGTTTGTTTCAGTAAGTTTGTCTTCATTGGTCTAGGGGGTACACTTTAATGGGTGTGATTCAGTAAGTTTGACATAATTCGTCTAGGGGGTACACTTTGATGGGTGTGATTCAGTAAGTTTGTCTTCATTGTTCTAGTGGGTACACTTTGATGGATGTGATTCAGTAGGTTTGTCTTCATTGGTCTAGGGGGTACACTTTGATAGGTGTGATTCAGTAAGTTTGTCATCATTCGTCTAGGGGTACACTTTGATGGGTGTGATTCAGGAAGTTTGTCTTCATTCGTCTAGGGGGTACACCTTGATGGTTTGTTTCAGTAAGTTTGTCTTCATTGGTCTAGGGGGTACACTTTGATGGTTTGTTTCAGCAAGTTTGTCTTCATTGTTCTAGTGGGTACACTTTGATGGATGTGATTCAGTAGGTTTGTCTTCATTGGTCTAGGGGGTACACTTTGATGGTTTGTTTCAGCAAGTTTGTCATCATTCGTCTAGGGGTACACTTTGATGGGTGTGATTCAGTAAGTTTGTCATCATTCGTCTAGGGGGTACACTTTGATGGGTGTGATTCAGTAGGTTTATCATCATTCGTCTAGGGGTACAC